AATATCTCCAGGAAATTCCCCTCAGATTCCTTTTCCACATTAGTAGACTTTACTGAGATGAGGGTATCTTCTATTTGCCTCTCAGAGGCTTCATCATTGGGAGACCGGCCTCTCAATTTGCTTAGTGCAAGGGTGGCCTCCTTTTTGTACTGTAGTAAAGGTCCTTTACCCTGAATTGCCCTAAGAAGTAACCAGCGTGGTGATGGTGGAAGACTCCACATACCAAGTCCCATAAGTAATGCTATTGGGGCACTGAACACATACATGTAACGCCATCCTCCAATGGCATTAATTTGAAAGTTTACTACAAAATATCCCAACTGCGAAAGAATCCATATTTCTGCTCAGCATAGTTTACAATGAAAGTGAATAAAAAAAATATGAAAATCTTAAAATTACCAAAATTCCCAGAACTATGAAAAGTTCCTAAAGAGATATTAGAGTTCCACGTATTTGAGAAGGGCAAGTTTCTGCAATATAGAGGGGAGCCCCATGCATGGCCTGTGAACATTAAATGATGACAGTGGTTAGAGATAAGCACATAAGCAATGGTGGTAAGTTTACTGAAGCTCACCAAGCCAATACCAAGGCCATAGAGTAGCCGTCCTGCTAAGAGAACACCAAGGTCTGGAGCAAGGGCTGTGATCAAAGCGCCAAGTCCATATAGCAATGCAGCTGATATAAGTTCCCTTCTTCTCCCTTAAAGCATAAAACACAAACAATGGATTAGGAGATGTCATATATGAATTCCAACAACAACAAAGAAGACAAGCAAATGATATACCAAGGAAATCCGCAATTGGATAAACAAGGAGGGAGCCAAGAAGAGCCCCATAGAGGGACCCACTAACCTGCATTCAAGGCAATATAACAAAGGAACTCATTATCCTTATTTTTGTCAGATTTAAGACATCAGATTTCCACTGCAGTTTAAGTAGAAGACAGAACCATACCACTAGACCTAGCTGAATGGCTGAAAGTTTAAACCAAGTTGTGCCACTAAGCTGGGGTGACTGACAGATAATTTGAGACAGTCAATTAGATACAAAAACATTAAAAATCATGCAGTCACCAATGTAAAAGTACACTCACATAATGGGATAAATAGCCACTAGACTGTTACCTGTAAAGAGATGGTAGCACCAGAGGTGGCGCCAATGTCATACCCAAATAACAATCCTGCTAAAGCTGGGAACAAAAATCTGATTGCAAAAATCAAATTAAGTAGAGGCAATAATTTGTATATAATCTGACCAAGAGACATTTGAAGAATCGATCCATGATCATATAGCTCTATTCTTTTCTTCAAAATTTCATTAAATAGTTGCAAGCATGAAGTTTCATTTCACCACAATGAATCAAGAAAATGCTAATAAAACCTTAAAACAGCAAATATCAGTAATTCAACATGACAGAAATGCCCATTAAACAAAACGTTAAAAACACTCAGAAAAGAGAACAACATAAGATAAAAACATACGGAAGAATCACTGAAGCCCAAGAAAAAGTCTCCTGATTCGATGCGTCAGAGACAGGCGACCCTGCCTCTTCCCCTGAAGAATACTCTCTCTGTGCACCAACCTACAAAACCCCCCAAAAACCCCCACAATTCAACATTTAGCCAACCCTGAAAATCCGAAAGAAATTATCAGTTCTCGATTCCCTACAGTGAATCTCAGTCTTTGACAAGAAAAAGACGACGGTCGCTTCGAAAAGATGGCAACTTTAGCAAGAGAGAAGGGAATAGGAGATGGGTTTGGATTAACAAAGGAGCACCGAGCGAGAAAGGGGCGTTTCTTGGGTTGGTATGAGTGCGGAGGTCCCAGCTTCAACACAGGCTGAACGCAGGCACTGGAAGCCATTGCAGAATGAATGATAACAAAAGAATCCGACGGTTGTTAGTTTATTTCCCGCTTTTTATCCCTTTTTTTTGGTGAATCAGATGCTTTTGGAATATATTACATTTCTGGAGATTTATTATTTATTTTTTTAACCATTACTTGTAGTTAATTACTACATTGATTAATTTGTCAAATTATAGACACTTTTCTTAATTCCATTACAAAACAATTTTGCCCTAAATTTCTAAACAATCTTTTCGTTGATTTGACTTTTCAATAAAAACACATGCTTTCATCATCTTTGTTCTGTCTGAACTGAAGTTTCTGTTTTTTCCTCACCTTGAATGGCTGCATTTTAGAAAAGTTCAATGCTTGTGAAAAATGACACCCTTTTTCTACCTTCGTGCAATAACCCTTTGACGCTGCACTAATTACATCCCTTCAAAACAATATTAGCCACTAACCCCATTTCTAATTCTAATTTTCAGTAAATGACCGTTGCAATTAACTGACATTCAGATTTTGCTAAACATAACCCCACCCCATGCTTTCGGATTGACCGTCTGTGATTTTCTGTTTCTCTAATTATCCTTGTTTTTTTATATATCTGCAATGGAATCCCAACTCTGTAGAAGAGGAAAGATTTCATCTTTCAGTCTCTGCAACTTTGTATTATCAACCATGGAGGACAACGAGGTTGTTTTTCAGGAACAAGTCGTTTCCAGTCCCAAAACTAATGTTGGGAAACCTCCCACCAGGCTGCAGAAGCAAGCTCCGGCGTCGCTTCAGGTTGATCGGGTTGCCAGAACCTCTTTCGGGCCTTCCGATGCTGTGATTCCCCTGTTGTCCCCTCTCACTGTATCCCCAAAGCCGTTAGAGCCGGAGGAGTACGGGTTTCCAACGCGGGCAGACAAGGACAATGGTGCAGCAGTGATGACCATGGTGGTGGCGGGCGGGTGGCAGCATCCAGCGCTGACCGGATACATGGAGAATTCGGCCTTTTTGAATTTGTTTCAATCCAAATGTGTACTTGTTAATGATGTGCAGTGAGGGGGCTTGAAGTTGCTGGGTAGCTGTGTATAATTTACCTTTTTCTGTTTGTCTTTTAACCCCAATTTTCGAATGCTAGTTCTTGAATAAGGGAGACCTTTCCCCTCCAAGCCATCATCTTTCTTCATCTGTAATGTAGCTGATTTCCTCAAGGAAGAAAAATGAGATCTGCCGTCCATTCAAAAACTTTTTACATCGAATCTTTAAATTTTGAAGAGAAGAAAAATACTTACAACCAACACAAAAAATGTAAATTCACCTGCAGATCTTAAATTATCTGAAAATCTAAGAAAATAATCATCATTTTTATCAATGCCTAATTCTGGTGCACTCAAGCATTCAAGGCAAACACATTTATGGCATGGAAGACAACAGATATGGGATTGGGAATTGGCTTGATTTCAAAAACATGAAGAAAATGAACAAACGGAGCAACTGGTAGATTGTCAACATGAAAAAAATTGTTCCGAAGTATTTATAAGTACGGATGGAATTACAAATTCCATCTGGGAAACGGTAAAACTTCATAAAACATGTTTTAAGTATCAATAGATTCCCAGGCCGAAAAAGCTTATACCATTTTTTTTTTTTTTTATGTACAATCTCAAGCTTCCATTTAATAATAATAATTAGAAAAATTACGTAGGACCAAAAGACAACTCAGATTTGATCCTTAACCGCAACTTGATGATAAATAGGCATGTCTCTAACAAAATTAGAACTCAAATTCTCCATTTGCCTGCAAAAGATACAAGCACTCCAGTAAAAACCATGGAATTAAGAAGATAACGGGAAATGGAAATTCCAGGAATCAATTGATGAAAACCCTGCCTTGTTAAAGAGAATGTCCTTGTTGTTTATGTGGACAATTCCATCCTTGAGTGTGCACTTCCATCGGCTCTTGGTACGTGTGACCTACCCACCAAAACATATATTGTTATTAATAATAAGGCTACAATGAACCTTCTTCAAAACAAATTTTACTATATAGCTTCTGTGCAACAGGATTCATGCTTGTTCCAAGTAGCACCTTCTCAAACTGAGCCAAAACTAAATGCTGTGTGTTCAGCTCCTCTCCCTGGTCCACATCATCCAAATCATCATCGTCATTTTCATTCAATGGCTCATCGTCGTCATCATCTGCAGCATCGTTTTGAACAATAGGAGCAGGGGTAGCAGCCTGAACATCTGGAGGGAGAAAATGGACCAAAATAAAAACAGGTAGCTGAAGCAAAGAAAGAAGAAATTGTACCTACCAACATTCAAACAGAAAATCTCAGTACATCCAGCAACTAAAATTACCAGGAGCTGGTGTGTTCACTATATTGTAGTCTTCATTGACAACTCCTTGGTAATTGTATATCTTCAAGGCAATAGACGAAGATTCCAGGAAAAAAAATGAACAGTGATGCATCAAATCTTCAACAAAATTCAAGAAAGATGAATGGTTTCTGTCTACTCACTGAATTAGAAAAATATGACACTTACATTGGGAGTAGAAAGCATATCATCATATGGATCCGGAATTGGCCCATCTAGTTGAGGGATCTTTGAAGTTGACCTAGCCAGATGAGATAAGATCTCTCTGTTTGCATTTGTTGCTGAGTCACCTCGACCAAGAATGCAGTTCCTTTGGGTTACCTGAGTTCAGAATCAGAATAATAGTATTAACAGAAATATGAAGGGGATTCACTGATGGCCAAAAAATAAAATGCTGGGCCAGAGGTTAACAGAAAGTCAGATAATCCAAGACTGATGTTGGCACAGAAGACCCTATGCTTTTTAATTAGAATTCAAGTTCTACTAACAGTGATTCATGGAATTATTGCTCTATACTTCCCATTGAAAATAAATGCAATATATTGATTTTTGCAGAACAAGAAAAGGACACCCTCTTAAATGACAGTAGAATAAAACCTATAGAATCTACTTAAAACCCCAGAGACAGATAACTTGTAGAAGATAAATGACGACATAGACACCAATCTTCAAAGATGAGGCACATCAACAATTTGTATCACCAATATCGATGATAGTTGAGTTCAGGAACCCTTATGTTAGCATACCACTCCAAGACCTTCAATATTTTTGCTAAATTAATCATGAATGTAACACCCATGATAAATCTGCAGCCAACAATTTTGACCCTCAAGAACATTCTGTCACTTCAGAACAGACTTGGAAACCAATTCCATATATCAAAATATCGAATATAGAACTAATACTTTTACTAAAACTTTAGACTGCAGCTATTAAAGGTGCTCATTTAAACAATTCTTGACACTAATACCGAGCACATTAGAAAAGGAAGACTTGAATAGTTACTAATTACCAGGCACTTAGGTCCTCAAATGATTCTGGGTCTAGATCTCACTGAGGCAGAATTTAAAAAGGATACAACCAATACACAGATACTCCTCACTGAGTGATGTAAGGTAAATTTAACATCTTACGCAATTCACTGATTTTTTTAACCCACACAATAATAGCAAGGATAAGGTATA